CCAGATTCACCCTGGCTGCAGATTAAAACCAATAAGCTGATATTAAAAGTTATTAAAATATTGTTGAAATAAAAAGGTCTTAGCCTGGTGCTGATAAACAAATAACGACAGCACCAGGCGGACCTCTCTGGGGAGCGCATTCCATAGGCGGGGCGCCACCGCAGAGAAAGCCCTCCTCTGGGTACTTTGCCTCCTAATGTCTTTCACGGAGGGTTCCTGGAGGAGGGCCTCTGCTGCCGATCTCAGGGGGTGGGAAGGCAAATATGGAAGAAGGCATTCCTTTAGGTATTCAGTTCCCAAGCCGTTAAGGGTTTTATAGGTGATAACCAGCACCTTGAATTGAGCCCGGACTTCGATGGGACTGGGGTTATGTGAGAGTAATGCCCAGTCCTCGTCAGCAACCTGGCTGCTCTATTTTGCACCATCTGAAGTATCTGGACTGTCTTCAAGGGCAGCCCCATGTAGAGCGCATTACAGAAATCCAACTGCGAAGTAACCAATGCATGTGTCACTGTTGCTAGGCGATCTTCCTCCAGGTAGGGATGCAGCTGATGGATTAACCAAAGCTGAAGGAAAGCGCTCCTCGCCACTGCAGTCACCTGAGCTTCCAAAGACAGCTCTGGGTCGAGGAGCACTCCCAAGCTGCGAACCCTGTCCTTTAGAGGGAGTGCAACCCCATTCAGGACAAGATCCAAGTCACCTACCCAGGAGCTCGAGCCACCCACCAACATGACCTCCATCTTTCCTGGATTGAGTTTCATTTTATTGGCCCTCATCCAGCCCATTACCTTGGCCAGGCACTGGTTCAGTACAGCCACTGCCTCACCTGGATCGGTTGAAAAAGAGAGGTAGAGCTGGGTATCATCAGCATACTGATGATTCCACAGCCCAAACCTCCTGATGACCTCTCCCAGCGGTTTCCTGTAGATAATGAATAGCAAGGGTGACAAAATGGACCCCTGCGGTACAGTCCCCCAGTACCACCTTCTGGAATCAGCCGTTGAAGTAGGAGCGGAACCACTGCCAAGCAGTGCCTCCTACTCCCAGTCCCGCTAGCCTATCCAGAAGCATACCATGGTCAATGGTATCGAAAACTGCTGTGAGGTCCAGGAGGACCAACAGGGACGCACTTCCCCTGTCTCTCTCCCTGCACAGGTCATCATACAGGGTGACCAAGGCAGATTCAGTACCATACCTGAAGCCAGACTGAAATGGGTCCAGATAATCAGTCTCATCCAAGAGTGCTTGGAGTTGTCCCGCCACCACCCGTTCCAACACTTTGCCCAAAAACAGGCTGTTGGCCACCGGTCTATAATTGGCGGCCATCTCTGGATCCAGGGATGCCTTCTTTAGGACCGGCCTGACTACCGCCTCCTTTAGAGGGGCAAGTACCCGGCCGTCCCTCAGAGAGGTGTTAATAACCTCCAGGATCCAGGCACCAATCCTGTGTTTGGCTTTGGTCAGCAGCCACAACGGACAAGGGTCAAGTAAGCAGGTGGTGGGACGTACTTGTCCAAGCACCTTGTCCACATCATCAGGCCGCAATAACTGAAATTCATTCAATAATATCTGACCAGACGGAGTCATTGGCATTTCCCCTAGAGGATCTGAATCACTAGGAGTCCAGCTCGTGACAAATTTAGTATTTCTGCCTTTTGTCATCTGTTATCCTTTTGCCATCCACACTGAGTAGTTGAACCCCCATTTCTTTCCTGTCTTTTACTTTGGACATATCTGAAGATGGCTTGTCACTTTTAGCATCCTTCACGAGTTTCAATTCATTCCTAGCTTTAGCATTCCAGATGCCTTCCCTGCAATTCTGAATTACCTGCCTGTATTATTCCTTTGAACCTTGGCCTTCTTTCCACTTCCTATACATGTCCTTTTTTGTTTTCAGATCATCTCTAAGCTTGTTGTGAAGCCACACAGGCTTCTTCTGTTGTTTTACCCCCTTTCCTTGTTGGAATTGTTTATAATGGTACCTTTAGAATTTTCACCCATCTTGGACTCACTGTTCACTGCTGAATGCATTTTAAGATTAGGCTTTTATTGATGCTTCATCAAGTGTTCCACACCTCTTCTAAGCAGACATTCTACAGGTGCTTTATAATATTGTGTAATTGGATTGATACTTGATCTAACACAGCTTGGTGGCATTATAATCTTCCAAGATTTTTATCTGCAGAGGAAAGGTGGGATACTAATTTTTAAGGGCACAATCCTATGGTCTCCTGACCTTGTCTGGTGTGTGTGTGTTGGGGGGGGGGGGCAAAATTATTTGCAGCTGAGACGCCAGATTCAGAGCACCTGCCCCACCATCCCTTTCAGCCAGCAATAAAAGAACCTTGCTTTAGACATACAAGAGAAACTGTTGCAGCAATTGCCCATTTCTGCCATGAGGTTCCGGCACTGATTCTCCTTTCATCTGAACACATCTCCCAAAATCTGTGCCGTTTCTGTACCAACAGAAAGCCATATGCGCTCTTCTCCCTGATGTCAGATTTTCTATGCAATCTATTTTCTATGCCTATTTTTTTTAAAGGAAGATCATTCAGCTTTGTGATTCACCACCTGCAATCTGTAGCAGCATTGTCTAGGAACGGTTCACCCCATCTGCAGTTTGTGAGAATTAAGCCTTTATAGACTAGACCAAGGATTGGCAACCCGCGGCTCCGGAGCCACACGTGGCTCTTGAATGCCTCTGCTGTGCCTCCGTTGCTCACAGCCCCCAATCTGTGACCAGCGCCGGTACAGCACAGCCCCTGATCTGTTTCATAAATGCAACACACTATAGTTTTTTAATACATAGCATAAAGGTAAAAAAACGATATATGCAGTGCTATTTTCATTTTAGAGGACAAAAGAGTTTTGCAGCTCCCGGTGTTTTCTTTTCTGTGGGAAACGGGTCCAAATGGCTCTTTGAGTGTTAGAGGTTGCCGACTCCTGGACTAGACAAAGGCATTCGAATGCCTCATTCATTTCATTCTGGAGTTGCTGGTTAGAAGGACACAAACTCTTATCACATGATGTACCACTGGTACTCCTGCAACAACTAGGACTTGGGATCCCTAAAACCAGTTCAACTGACCACCACTGGTTTTATGTGGCTATGCATGGGACCATCTGGCCCAAACTGACTATCAAATTATCCCTGTGACAGGGGATGGCTGCTCTGAATGACATGAGCAAGACAGTGTGAATACATGGAAATTGATTAATAGTATGCAATAGGGTCCCCATGATAAGAAAATGAAGAAAAATGATTTTTCCCCTCAGGCATGAACAAATACAGTAACATATTGAGAAAAGCTATGGTCTAGTTTTGTCATTTTCCCTCATGTTTTTTCTTACAAGTTGTGGCCAGCTGATTTGTTTCAGAAAGTGCTGTTACATAAAGGAAGATCTTAAGATAAGGTGCAAGATGCGTACTGTTAACAGAAAGAAGAAAAATGGGGGGCCAGAAGGGATGCAGAGATAAAGGATGGCAACATTTCCCAAACATTCTATCTACAGGGTGCCTTCTCCACATCTTGGCTGTGGAAGAACTTCTACGCATGCTGCGGAACCTCTGCCTGTTGTAGAGGATGTGACACTGCACCACACAATCTGTCTTCCATTTTATTCAGGGCACAGCTGGGTCTGTTGATGCTTGTCATTATATGAAAATATGACTGCAGAAATCAGGGTATTTACAGTGGTATCATGAATTAGGGAATTCACAGTGCAATACCATTTTTCTTCTTTAACACCAACATCATCAAAACCTTCACTGAATTATGAAAATTATGGGCATCAGGTGGAGTTCTTGTTAGCCTCTTCAGTAATCTGGCTATGGTCAAGATGGCCTCAATCTCCATTCTCAGAAAAATAATTTGGGTAAGATCCATGTATAGATATGCTTGACTGTCCCACAACTTTTTCACTGACCTCTTGGATGACACTTACAGCCCTTCCTGTATTCAACTATCAGCATGTAAGGTCATTCTCCTCTGGGAGCCACTTCTGAGAGACATTTGGGTAGTGGTGTCAAAGACCAGTTCTGGAACACATTCCCAGAGGGGTTTACCTGACAACAGCATTGTCATCTTTCCAAAACCAAGTGCAAAAGCCATTCTCAGGTATTTGATGGCACAGCACAGGCTATTTAATCATCAGTTCAATTGCTCATGGGTGTTTTATGGAGTGGCTGCATTTTAGTAGATTTAGATTTAGCTGTTCTAAATACTGTGTTTTTAAATTTTGCTGTTACCTCGAGCCTTTCTGAGAATATCTAAGAACTCGAACAACAATAGAACGCACACAGATGTTTGTGTGTATACACTCCAGGAGAAGATCAGCAGTGGTGGCCAGATGGTCTTCCAAGAATGTTTGTCCACCTTAGCTGATCTTCTCAATGAGGAAGTTCTTGATAAGCTTCCAAAGAACTTAAGGTGCTCCAGAAATAGAGTTAGGGATACAAGTTGGGAATTGTCCCGTGCTTAACAAAATAGTAAGGAATTAAAAGGTAGATTCAGTATTTTACATCTGTTCTTCGACTGCAAGTCTTTGGGAAAGGTCAGAACATTTTAAGCTGTCATTGTTTTCTCACAAGTGTTCCACAATTTAATCTAAATGTTTACTGGAGTGCGAAGTTAGTGCTGCTATCAAGTATCATCTCAATACATATTGACTCAATGTAAACCCAACTCAATTAGTACTCAATTAGTAAATGTGTATAGGATTGCCCTGGAATGACACATGATGGTATACAACTGTAGCCTGAAAACACACACACTTATAGTGAGAGAGAGTGCAGAAGAAAAGTTTAAGGAATATTAGAGGTAGTTCACAAAAAGATAAAAACCATAAATAAAATAATTTTGGAGACATAACAACGGAGTTTGGATACTTCTTTTGCTGCATTGTAAAAGAGACAACGAAGAAGGCCACATGGCAGGTAAAGTTAGCAAATTTCATAGTAGAGATACCTTCCTCAACTGAAGTTCCTGTGGCACCTTCAAAATAAAGAGGAACAAAAGGATTTGTAAGAGTAGATATCTTGGAAGCAACACATTCTAAGCAGCGTATTAGATGACTATAAACATTTATGCATTATGAATCCCTTAGACTTCAGGTTATAAGAAGTGGGAAAACGCCCAACCAAGTTAATAGCCAGCTGCTGCTTATAATCTGTTTACCTGTTCACATATACATGTTGGCCTGGTCATCTAAACAAATGCATCTCCCCATAAATACCAGCCTGGTCACTGCAGTCTTCATCTGAAGCCCTCCTCCGAGTTCCTCCCCTCAATGCAGTGAGGGGGGAGTTTGCAAGCATGAGAGCTTTTTCGAGAATAGCGCCCACACTTTGGAACTTGATTCCATTGGAGATACACTCGCCACCTATCCCTTTGGCTTTTAGGTGCCAACTAAACACATCTGTTCTGTAGTTATTTTGATTAGGTGACTTTTTTATTGATCTTGTTTTATGTTAATATGCTGCTGCCAATCTGTTTTAATGCTAGATTTTCATATGGCTGATTTTAATGGTTTTTGTTCTGGGTTATGTATATATTGTGTAATTTTTGTGTATTTTGCTTTCATTGAATTTTGATGGTTTTACGATTTTGTTATTGGCACCGATTGTGTATTTTCATGTATGCTTTGTATTATGTTGTATGGATATTAATAATGTAAGCCACTCAGAGAGCCTATGGCTTGTGCAGCAGCATACAAATTGAATAAAATGAATGAATGAATGGCCTTGACTACTGCCCCCAAAGTGTCATCTTCTAATTTTTGGTTATATGACACAGGGATCTTATTCTTGTAAAAAATCCATAATGTACCAAGATTGATCAAATGAATCATTCCTTAAGCACCTTGATGTGAACTTGAACAGTGGCCAGGAATATAATTTGATTAAGTTCATAAAACGGTGCACAACTATAGGCAGGATCACAAAATTAATGCTACTCAGAAAGTCCTTCATTTTTAAGTTTTAGTCAAAATATGAACTGAAATGTGCAGTGCTTCTGACTTTTAGGTATTTCAAGGACATTCTTCACAAATGTACAATAATTTCTGAGCAGCAGGCACTCTAGTGCTCCTAACTCAGTACTGCTTATTTATAAAATTTGGCATCCCAAGATGTTACTTCAGTTAGCTTGTTCAACTAGTGACCAGAAGAGGCACCGTTTCATCAACCAACCATTATAAATCATAATTAATATTTGCAAGCTTTTGTTCATGGTTTCCTTGGCCTGTTCTCGCACCCAGTGTAGATTTCTGGGCACCTGACATGGCAGATCCATATGTGGATGTTTTAGCATGTTCCATGTACTAGCCTAGAGCAGGAAAAAAACACGAGACAAGTGTCTGTGTTACCAGGTGTATCTTGGCCAAGTTTTAGCTCAAACTTAATACACCCATGGGTAAAAAGATAGGGCTGCAGTTCCATACAGGAGTTAGCTCCTGTGTAAGCGTGCATGCATATGTGTATATATTTTCTGTAATATTCCTAATCCCACTGATTTTCACACTGTGTTCCAAGAACAGGGGACTCCCTTGCTGTGATGAGCAGTGGAAGAAAAGCTTCCCACAAACTGCCACCTCAACCAATCTTTGCCCAACCTTGAATTCTGGACTTCTAAAGGAATACTGGGAGCATACTCTCAATTGGGGTGGGGTGATGGTGAGGTGCAAGAGGCTCGGACAGTGTCCTGCATGAACTAAGGCTGCACCGCAGGATAAACTGCCGACTATTTCACAGCAAGTGTTTCCCCAGTAAACATGTTGCTAAATGGTAAGAAACAGGAAACAACCCTCTTAAATTATTTTATTATTATGGAGGAGTATGATTTTATTGCTACTGAGGTATATAAAGAAAAGGGCCAAGGTATTATACAGAAATGTGTAGGTGCAACTTTTATGCACTACTTATGACAAAACAGAGAAAAATCCAGAGTATATTTTATCAGGATACACATCTTTGATTTAGGAAAGATAAATAATGTCTTGAAAATGAATTTGATCTGACATTTCAGCTGTAGAAATACCTGTTTAAGAAATGTTTATGTATTTTCTGAACTTAATGAAAATATTAAAGCAAATATTTATGAAACTTTATCCATCACCATAAAAAGACCCATCAAGTTAAAGACTGCTTTCTAACCCATCTCCTGATGTCACCCAAGCTTTATATACACAGCACAATAGATAATCCACAATATACTATGTGGTCAATAATGGCAGCAATCAATCTATAACTAATCGCAGGTCCTGTGTTCTAGGCACTGATGGTAGCAGCCTGTATCTCAATAGAGTATCCTATTAGATTCTCATTTTCTATCCTCTATTTATCCAAGCTTTTCAATTTGCTTTCTTCAATTTAGAAATACTTATATCTTCCAACGAATTTTATATCTCCCTTTTGTGACTCCCCTTCCCAACATCTCCCCATTACAATCAGTCTTTGCTTCTGGAAAATTCTTGGAACTGGATCTTCTTCTCAAGAAGTTACTCAAAACCCCTATTGTTCTGCATATATAATTCTAGATACTATTCTAATGCAGGTTAATAGACATTGTAAATTAAAAAATCTATTCAAGAAGCAATGTACTAAGCATCACTTATTAAAATTAAATGCTATGTATTTACTACACACACACCCTGCTGATATAAGAGCTTAAGTTGAAGATCATTCTTTAATCATTATTTTCAAATTAAGTATTTGGAATGCAAATGGGAAAGCGCATTTACACTGCTAATTTAAAATTTTAATACTTCAGGTCAGTCCATCCTGATGTTTATCATATCCCAAGTGAACTATGACCTTGACAGATTTGTGTTCTTAGTTCACCCTCTGTATTTATATTCATAAAACTACATCAAGTAATGTGCACAGTGCTCTAGCAACACAGGAAGGCAATATATGTAGTATAGCTTTGGGCCTACTTACCCTCAAAGTTTAATACTGAAACTTTCCATGTTATCCACTTTACTACATTTCTATGGCCATTCAATAACACATGCTCTCGAGGTGGTTTACAGAATTTTAGAAGAGTAAAATACACCATCAAAATAGTAAAAACTAGGCTAAAAAGGGTTCTTTCAAGCAGGGGGGAAAACAGAAAATAAAAACATGATCCATAAATTAAGAAGCCCAGAGATTAGAGACAAGTTATTTTAAAAGGGTGTATCAGAAGTCTGCACCTGGTACAAAAAAGACCGTAAGAGATTGTGTCAGGTGATCCTATCAAGAGAGGCTGTCCGAAAGCTAGGATGCCACCACAAAGGAAATCCTTTTCAGTAGCCAGCTGTCTCACTCAGTTTTTTGCAGATCCCTTTGAGCAGGGCTTCTGATAGCCATTTTAGGGACCAGGTAGCCATATATTGGAGGAGGCACGAAAACGAACTGAGAGCCAGTGCATCCAAAAAAGCATGGGTGTAATATGGTTGAAAGGTCCAGTTAATACTTGCAGCCCAATTGTGGACTAACTTGTAGTTTCTAGATCATTTTTAAAGGCAAGCTCAAGTACAAAGCACTGCAATAGGCCAAATGGGTGGTTCCCAGAGGATGGGCTACTGGGGCCAAGTGATCTCCATCTATGAGGTTGCAGCTGCCATTTCAGCCAAACTTGACAGATGGTACTTCAAACCACAGGAACCATCTGAGCCTTTTGTCGGATCCATTGCTGAAGCAGCAGTTTGCTCAGCAACTGTGCAGCCTTCCTCACATGAAAAAATCTGCTACAGAAGACTAGCAAATCCTCCAGAGTTGATTCTCAGGTAATGCAGAAGGCATCAGGGGAAAGGAAAGATGGGAAAATCCCCTTGTGAGAGCAGACTCCCACTAATTGGATCTAACCCAATGGCAGCGGTGGATCACTAAGAGTCATTGCCAAGGGGTGTCTCCCACATTCAGCCCAGAAGGCCTAACCATGAAGCACAGAAAGATTAAGCAAGAAATACTCCCCCAGATGTACAGTACCTCTACAAGTGTGCTGAAGTTCTACCTTTGTTATAGGCTTGAACAGTGGCAATGGATTGGATGGACAGAAGTGGATGTTCCTGCCTCGTTTTTCACAAAAACCCATCTTGCCCACTAAAAACCATACAAAGAATAGGATTAAGTATTGTGGGGCTGGGGATCCCCCAAAATAAAGCGTAAGAACCTCCTGGAAATGGAGCGCCTCCTGTCTTGGACATTCCCTTCCTCTTGTGCAAGGTGGATTCTGGATCCAAAACAATGACCTGCTTAGGCTATTTCATACTTTTGTTGGATCAATTTGCTGTCCCTAAACCACCTACCAGTCCTAGTTTGCACCTTATTTTGACAACCTGCAAACAAGCCAGTCACAGGTTCTTGATCCAAAGCAGATGTGGCAAGTTCAGTGCATGCAGAGCAATTTCTCTTAACCTGCAAACTAATCCAACAAGCGCCCAACCTACTTATACTTAGAAGTGCATAATACAAGCACACTGCACATTTTCTTGCAAAAATCAGCTAGGGTTCTTAGTCAAAGGCTATACTACTCTTCAGTTCACCAATGTTTATATCACAATTCATTGACTGCATGTTTCACTTTGCATCACATGTAACTGTAACACTACCAGCTAAAAAAGGGAAATAGGCACATTGCTGAATTCACTACACAAATAAGCAGGCAATATCTCTAGTGAAGCCAGGGAATATTTACTCCACACAGGTCACAAACATATACACACAATTGTTACCTGCAGGACTCTTATTGACATCCATAAGTTTTAACTGCAAAAATGAAAGATTTTTTTTTTACTAATCAGTGAGAATAAACATCAAGTCTGTACTATTTAGAGATCAGCAGCTTGCAAAGCTTAAAAAGCCCCAGCAAAAAAGAGGCGAGCAGCTACTAGTAATAGGGGTAACTGTGTATGAGAAGTAGAAGCAACATCAGTAGTGTCTTGCCTTGAGGACTGGACCAGGGTGGTTGGCCACAGGAATGACACTGACTGAAGCCTGAAGTGCTAAATTTGCTTGCTTTGTTTTGAAGTCAATTATAGGCTACTGTACATGCAAGGCTGCATTAGAAGTACTGATTTACCCAGCACTGCCACTGTAAATACAGCTAAGCATGCACAATGCACCTGTCCCACAAAGACTTTTGGGCCAGACAGCTTTGGGCTGGTTTATACAAGATGCAGGCAAATACACACTTGCCTGTGCGGAGGAGTTCCATGTAACTGGCATCTTCTAAGAAGTAGCTCACCAGTTCACCAACATATTCACATGCAGTGTTGGCAGATCAGTAATGTATGGCCCTATGAGAAGCTATGCTGATGCTTGAACGCTACATGAGCAGGGGCCAGTGCAAGAGTTAGAAAGTTTTAAGAGACAAAGTCTCTCACATCCTGTGTTGCGCAGAAATGACTTTCTGAGCAGGGCTTCTGAAACATGAATTTTTGGTGTTGCTGAATTTTGCTGCATGGCCTATTAATTTTACTATTTAATATATTTATAATACAAATACAATAAATGAATGTCATCTCTATTGCAGGAAAGGAATCTTAATTCAGTGCTAAAGCATGCAGAAGGGTCCAGACATAGTTCCTAGTATCTGCAGTTAAAAAGATCTCAAGCACTGGGGCTCAAAAAAGACTTTCTGTGTCTGAGAACCTGGAGAGCCACTGCAAGTGGGTAAAATAAAATTACCTTCAGTGAGTAGGTAAAATTGGGCTAAACTAAATGAATAATCTGACCTGATAAGGGACTGTCACCAGTCCCTATCTGTAGAAAGGGGGCAACTTGCATTCATTCTTACGTAATGGCATGAAGTGTATTTATTGAACTAAGCAATGCAGCAAGATTGCAGTGTGCAGATAAGCAAAGACCTTTCATACACACATCAGAGTAAAAGTTAGTGACTAGAATCTTCGGCTTAGCAGTAAATCATTTGTGAACAAAACAAATAAGAGTTTGGTTTCCATAGAAATGTTTAATAAGAGTAGTTAGGTGTTCCCACTACTGCCCCACACATCAAAGCATTTTTCCAGCTTACTTAGAACATTACTTACATGAAAAATATTTTAATTAAAACGTATTTTATTTAAATTGCAGCAAGTCTTACAGCATGTGGGTTTACAGAAATCTGTGACAGAAGCATTACTGTATATAAATCCTGGTCCCCTATTTTTATTCCATTCATTACAAATGGAAATAAACATTTTGCTTTCAAAAGAAAATCCTTTGGCATTTGCACAGCAGGTTCCCCCATGAGAATAAGCCTGGGCTAGACAATCATTAGAAAAATCTCCACACCATTTCTGCTTGGTTATATGCCTGATAAAGTTTACCCACCCAGTGCTAGGTAATATTGGAACTAGTGTAGAGGTGTTAAAAAAGTTTCCTTCTATTTGGGAGACACCTGAAAATAGTTGCATCTGCAGTTGTTTAGGGCACAGACTAGGTCAGAGTAGTGGTCATACTGTAAAGCATATTCATATGAAATTGTTCTTCCAGCTACAGCACTGGCCATTTTCTTCCTACTGCAGGCATGAGCACAGTGCAATATGAAAACACTGTTCACTCAGTCTGGTAAACATTGACCTGTAGAAATGAATGGCAGAGTTCACAGAATCGGAGACACAGCAGTGCTTCTACATGGCATGGGGTCCTTGGGCCTCTAACCATCCTTTCCATTGTTGCTTGTAGTTGTGCCTGAAGACAAGGTTTGTACAATAGGATCCTCACTTCAGAATGGGCCACCCACACTTCAAAACTACACCAGTTTAGAGACCATCTCAAAGGGAAGATATAGCAGAACTGTATTATATATAATACATTTTTATGCATTCTATAGGAGTCAATGCTTGCTCACTTGCTCAGGTGGAAAATAGGCATTAGAAAAAAAATCTGCATACTCTGCTTTACTCTAGATGACCAACACTGAATAAATGTACATTTCTGAGGTGGGGAAGAAAAGAACCTACAGTCACAACTACAGGCCCTTTAGTTATTTCCCCAAACTTTGTTAGCCTCAATTCCAGGAAGGAAAAAATTAATTGTGTCCACATTCTGAGCAGTACTTTCATACTGGTATTAAATTACTTAGGATGCAACAATTACTTCTTGGTCCAATGAAAAGGTTTTGCAACTATTAAGAAAACTGGCCTATTTTCATGCAAATGCCCAAGATTCTCATACAGTATTGAACACACCACACAGAAGGTAGATGCCCAACTAGTAAGAATGCACTTTGGTATTTGTCATAGTGACCCCTGCTAAAGGTCACCAATATGAAACAGACAACTCTAAGATGACCAAAGTAGGGCACATGGCAGAAAAGCAGTCCTAGTAAGATGGCCTGAATTATACTCACTACTTCTTATTTCTGGGTTTTAACTCTTCAGCAGCATTGCGCAGAAAAATATAGTTTTTCTTTTGAGGATTATAGAACTCATGCCCCTGTAAAAGTATTTAAAGTAGTTAAAATACAATAAAACTTAATTTTATAATTAATGGGTATTCACTGATACAATAGAAATCTGTATGACTTATTTCAGGATAACTGTTTGTTCCCTGACCTAAGGCTTTATAGGGAATGATTTAAGATTAAGGAGGCAGAGAGCAGGGTATAAATAAGATTAACTGTCCAAAGTAGAATTTAGAATGCCAGCCAAAAGGAAGGTTGAACTACAACTCATAGTGGGACACCACAAGCAGAGAAAGGAAATAGTTTTTAGCCCCACATTTAAATTTCAATCTGACAAAGGTCTTAGACTGTAATCTATCTGTTGGCGGGGTCAAAATAGCATTAAGTCTAGTCTTAAGTAAGCAAAACAAAACTTCCACATCTCTACTCAGAACTACAATTTCAATATGGATTCTATAAGCCAGACTAAATTATTCAGCAGCGCCTTCAAATAGCATCTCAGACACCAAGTTTCTGGATGCCTACTTAGAAGCAAACAAACATGTCTACTCACAAGTAAGCAGGTATACATGCTTACTCAGTTGTAAACCAGGTAAATAACTGTGGATAAGCCTATGCAGTACACAAGCCAAGCCACAGAAATGCAACTGAGTAACTCACACCTTACTCCTCATGCCCTCTTCCTGGCAGGGAAAAGCTCTTCCTTTCAATCAGCCCTTTCTCCTGCAGGGTGAAGTGGTAAAGCCTGTGGAGCAAGCTGGCAGGCCAGATGGGGAACCCACTGGCTGCAACGAGCCCATAAGCCCAAACCTCCCCATCTGTGCTACAGAGTGGTGGCTCTATTTCCCTATAATAAGCAGAAGCATATGTAAGAATGTAGCTCTGCACTAACACAATGGAAATCCAGTGGGACTAACAGAAGTCATTTATTCAACCCAAAGGCAATATTCCTTGCTGGCTGACAGCAGCTCTCCAGAATTTCAGATAAGAGGCTTGTTTATTAGATTTATAGCCCACCTTTTTCTTACGAAGAACTCAAAGCAGCTTACATGATTTCCTTCCTCCTACTCTCAGTCTTATCCTCACAACAACACTGTGAGGTAGGCTGGGCTGAGAGTCTGTGATTGGCCCAAAGTCACCCACCTGGAGATGCCTGGGATTGGACCTAGGACTGTTTTCGTGCCAAGTACATGAGCTGCACCACACTTATGGCTCTGCTGACATGCTATAGAGCAGGAGAGGACCACCCCTGCTCTTCTCTAACACATCATTTTCTTTGCACCAATGAGGACAGAGCTATTCTTTTCATTCACCTGTTTGTTGATGGCATTTGTCCTCAACAGCTCCAGTCCACACAACTGGTTTCATTCTGAGCAACTTAAACCCTTTTGTGTACAATTATGTGTAACTACAGCTGATTTGGCAGGTCCATCTCTTCCGCATTATCCTCTGCATTTCAGATATACGTCAATAACTTGTTACCGCCTCTGAGAAAATTGCATATTTATTTACTGGGCTGAAACATGCAGAGCTGAAGCCAGCCCTGCATACATGTGCCACCTCCATTCTATTCTGAACTATGTATCAGCTTTGTATCAGGTCATTATGTGGTATGTGGCAAGGATGGTTGACTGGGCTGGTTGTCCTGGAAGGTTTCCAGCTTCACAAATGCATGAATGTTACTGACTTCACTGAACTCTCACTGTATTTGCAGTTATATTCAAAGCCAAATCTGCATGGCAGGATCATATCTGAAATCCCATCTTACCTAAATTCTGTACGTGAGTGAAAAGCCGATGGTGTAGTGGTTAGAGTTTTGGACGATCCAGATTCTAGCCTGGATCTAGAGCTCCCTGGATTACTTTGGGCCAGTCACTTATCTCAGACCAACCTACTTCACAGTGTTACTGTGAGGATAAAATGGAGAGGAGGAGGATTATGCAGGCAGTCTTGGGTTTGCTGCAAGAAAAAGGTGGGATATAAATACAATAAACAAACTACAGTTTGACATAGTGCAATGGTGCTGAGAATTTCTCTCTTCTTCTACCAGATACTTTAAATCTGACACAGATGCTACCTGTAGGCAGGGCTTCATCTTCTCACAGACAGAGCTAATCTGAGGAGGGAGACATGGAGCAGATATGTTAGCTCTACTCCCAAATTTTGTTCATACCTTAGTGGATTAAACATGAAGGCCTGAAAGGGCTCACAGTATTCAGCTATTCAGGATGAACTTACAGAATTCCCTACTGGGAACCTTGCCTTGTCAGATATTCCCAAGCCGAAAGCTCACATGAAGGCCCTTTCAACCCTTCATGCTCAATGCACAAACATCTAAATAGGTGCTAGGCATGCAGGGACATATAGCACAGAGCTTGTGTGCTATGTCTCCCTCCCCACATTTGCCCTGTGCATGTAGGTCATTGCTTACACAAGACTGCTGAGTTTTGCCAGTAACAGTAACTGAAAGTTGCTATGTTTATAATATCAGCCAACTCACTTACCTTTGACCAATCATAACTGGAAGCATATGCAAATATGTTGCCATTATGGTTGAAAGAACAAGCAGATATTGGCTGGTCCAGCTGCTCTGATGTTTTTAGCTTTGTCCGTGCATCTTTATCCCAAAAGCTGAATCTACCATCAGATCCTACAGTTGCAAGAGTGCCGTGGGCAGGATGAAAGGCAATTCCATTTACCTTTTAAGTGATAATTAATGTAAGTTTAATAAGTATTTTTACCATGCTCTTCAGCTGAAAAGTTTCCCAGTTGGGCCTACGTATTATTAGCAACAAGTAGACAGCCCCCACCCCCTTCAGGCAAGGGAAAAACAGAGAAAAGAGCAACCATATTCAGGCACCAGTTCTTAAAGTTACAAATTCCTTATAATGATTAGTTTCAATAGAAATACTTAAGAGGAGCCAGATGATGTTGGCCTTTCCATTTGAGACCATGGAGATGCCTTGCATCCCATCTCCACCACCCTTCTGCATTTATGAACATAGCATGTAAAACAAAGCAGACATGGAATGCCTGAAAAGCTTCTGTGCAGAAAGTGTGTGACAATTTAAGGCACAGTGAGCTTAAGTTTTGAGTTACACTGTTATCAGTCTGAAATGATGCAGGTCTCATATGTGTAACAAAAAGCCCATTGCGGAAAACTAGTTGTGATGGACAGGTCCCAGTCTTTCCTCCAGAAATGCTCATCGCTCCCACCACATCTTACTCCAGCAGGAGCAAAGCAGGCCATTGCTGACTTCGTGGCCATTGCTGACTTCGTTGCCACCGTCCACAGTGGCAACTGCCACAGGGAAAGACTGGAGGAGCGGGGAAGCAGCCCCTTTGTCTATCCTCCTCCCTTCAATGGACACCACCGAAGTAGGGAAAGTACCAGAGAGAGCTAAGCCTGCTTTCCCAGAGCTGGCCATGCAGATCTTTTTGCAAGCAAGCCAAGACCTAGAGAAAGAGGTGAATAATTTTTTTCCTTTGGTTGAACCAACTGCTCTCGTCATACCTCCTCTCTTGTCTGGATCTGGCTCCTTTTTGGGCAGAAGTAATGGAGAGCCATCAGAAATATATCCTTCTACATTTAAAGCAACCGGGTCTGCCTCTTGCCAGTGGGGAAGGAGAATTGTTCTCCCTATTATGAGGCTGTACATGGTGAGTACCTGGTTTCAGGTCATGCCTCAGTCACAGCTTTTGCCTTCACAGAACAAATTACAGCGATAATATGGCAACATTGCGACATATACTTAGGAATACCTTTGACCCAGTAATCTTAGTATCTAGAGTATGAAGCAACTTTTGCCTTTTCAACTATGTCCTAAGCCAACTCCCATTTACATTTTTCCACAGAACTCAGTGAGAGCCAAAGAAGCTGCAGTGCATAGCTTTTTCTTCATCTGCATGGCCCTTGCCCTGTGTCCCATTTATTAAACACAAACATGATAAACTGTGGGAAGAATACGAAAACAGAGAATACTGGAAACTGGCTATTTCTGCAGAGACACAGCTCCTGATCTCTGCCAAAGATAAGGACAAATCTCAAACTGTTCACTCAAAATGCATTTTACTAGAAAAGAAGTATCTTGGGTCAACATGGAAATGTTCTTTGCCAAGCCTCATTCTGTTTGTTACAGATGTCAGTTTTCTCCTGTTAGACGAAAAGCACAAGTTTTTTTTTTCTTTAGGGACAAAATGTCAAAGAAGGAAAAGCCCAGATTTGACACCATGTTTATATTTAATTGCCCTAAAGGATGCTGTCTGCATAGCGTGCAAAATACTCACAGCATAGATATCCTGAGGAGCAGATGTGTTTGTGCCATTAGACCGATGACATTTGAAGGTGAAGTTGTCTTTGGCACTGAAAAATAATTCAAGTTCTTAATTTCATATAGCACACAATGCACTGATGTCTTCCTGAGAGCCATTTCAAGATACTTACGGATTTGGTGGGTTAATGTAATGAATGGCTACTCTTCCTTCAATGCTTCCAAGGGCAAACCCTGTTGGTTTGTTCACTTTGTCTTTAAAAATAGCCACGCAGCGGTGCTAAATGAGGGAAAGATCACATTTTAGTCAGCTAACAGATAAAATATTCGTTCTCTTGGGCAAATGCTGACCTTGCAACACAACATAAAAGTTACTGAACAGGCAAGGCAACAGAGAACATTTTTTGCTTAAGAAAACCTTGTACTTACAGGCCAACCTATCACTTAGGTGGGAGATGATACTAAGTCACCTGATAGACCACATCAGATTTAAAGACTATAAACCTCCATTCTTATGTACTGGAATTGTATCTCACTAGACAGTAGGAACATTTAGTAGCAACTGGTAAGCTCTGTTGAAGATACATTACTATAGAGGACATATATTGCTTAGGCTTTGCAATTATGAAAACAGGAATTCAGTGATAAGAATGTAATTTAAGTCCATGGCTTTTTTAGCATAATACTAAGCCACGATGCAATGTTATGTGAACAAGCCCTGGGCTTGCATGCTCCTCCTTCCTCATCCAGAGCTGCCACTTGGTGGAGAGTGGAAACATCCACTTCCTCTTGTACACTAACTGTAGTTTATTGTTAAACCCAAAGAGGACATAGTGTAGTTTATATTATGATTCCTGAAATATGGCAGGCTTAATAAAAGGGGAGGGAGAAGTGTTTGATCCTGAAGCATGGGCTCTAGATCAGCAGTAATGTTTAAATCAGTTACAATTCTGCAGTAAGCAAGAATTGCTCTAGATAAGGAACACTGCTACTAAGCTCCACCTCCTTTCCACAGCACTTCTATTTCTCCAACTTAAGATCTGGAGAAAGAAAAGAAGATGGACAACTACCAAGGTGCATTTGGATTTCCCTGCCTTGGGAAAGGAAAGCATACATAGAGGGGTGTTGAAGAAAACAGAAAGAAGGAACAAAATTTATGTAGTTTATATTAGGAGGTGACTATAGAAAGAAGCACGTGCCAGGATGGTTTAGCTATCTAAAACAGTTAATCATTTATGAGCTTCAACTGTGATGTTCAGTTCACTGGAACTGTGGCTAAGGAGATGTTTGACTGTTGTAGCATTTCAATTTGTAGCAAAACATTAAGACCATCATGCTAGCCAATGGATTAAAAAAATAAAACAACTTTGTGTTTTCTAATTTGGGGGTATTTCAGGGTATTTTACTGTAATACTTTAGATTTTTATTATATTTAAGTCCTTTGCTTTCTACTGACTGATGTTTACATTAAGTTTCCTAAAGAAATATAGATCTCTATCTTCAAAGGAAGAGGCTTTTTGCCTCAAGAGTGAACATCTGGCTGCATCCAGCAAATAATGACAGGCATTCAAACAATACAACATCCTTACTTATTAGGAGTAAGCAGTGAAGTGGCCAAATTTGCTGATGATATGTAAGTTTTAAGGCTGGGTAAAACCAAAGGGGATAGTGAGGCAATCCAAAGGGATATCTCCAAGCTGGGAGAATGGGCATCAAAATGGCACATGCAGTTCAATGTAAGCAAGTGTAAAGGGATGTATTTACACTGCAACTTCAAGTACAGGCTGATGGGATCTGAGCTAGCAGTGACTGAGCAGGAAAGGAAAATCATTTCAATTAGCATTATAGAATGGAGGTCCAAGTGAAAAAAAAGGAAAAGAAAAAAAATCATACTGTGTAGGTCCAAGCACCTGGGAACACCTAAAACAGCTTTCTGAATCCCAATTGACTACATATAAATCCCTTCCTATATATAAACACACACTTCAGTTACACACTGGTAAAATTATTTTAATGCTGTTCTAATGAAAGCAGTCTCAAGGAGATTCAAAATATTACATTACTTTGTTCTTGCCTCTCTCAAAGCAAAGTAAGTGCAATTCTCAATACATTAAAAGGAAAACACTGGTGTGCTCCTGTGATACTTTGTCACTGAAGATATACTTATGCACCAAGGTTTTAGAATAGGGCCCATAATTTTAAAACAAATGCTAGCAAATACATAAAAAGTAAGTGTCAGCAATATAGTTTTGGAATTCAAATACTTCAAGTATTATTTAATGAAAGCATCAAGAAAGCTAACTGAGGCATAATTATTACCTGATGTTTAAGTGGAGAATCTATTCTTCTAAATTCAGAAGGCTGGTTCTCTAACTGATAAACTATCAAGCCTCTCTCTGCAGTAGCCACAACAGCCATGGGATATACCTGAAACAAGATAAAGGATCTCAGAGAGGAGAATATGAAGTTTTGACCATCAGTTGGATGAAAATTGATGACTCTAAAGAAATGCAAAATATTGCAGCAATATTTTAATTCACATTAAGTTATTCAAATGTGATAGGGGTGCAAACTGAGTTCATTCAGTACCCTTCCTTCCCCACAAAATGCAAAATAATGATAACACTGCTTTCCTAATGACAACACTTAATTCATATAGAGATTACAGTACTAGAAAGAATGACCCACTAATTGCAAAGGATAGCACACCTACTAACAAATTCAAGTCCAAAAGTCTATGAAGCCACTTTACTTACTACATCGGCACAGTAACATCGCTCAGGTAACTGCAGAGTCATCATTGGAGTAGGCAATCGGGTATCCCAAAACTAGACAAAAATTAAACAGAGCATCAACAATCCGCTACATGAGATATTAGGACTGGTTTTCGCAAATCGAGGCTCTGGATTAGCTTCATGGTCTTAACAAAGATTGGTTTCAGAAAGCATGAACATTCCAGCATAATACTATGATAAAACTGAGAGACTTTAATTCAAAGATAGTCTCCAAGATAGGATGAGTTAAAGGTTTGGGCAAATCACTCTCAGCCTCACTTTCCATCATTTCAGTTGGAATAACAGTGACCAACTCAAAGACAATTTATCCACTGCAATTATAGAAATAAATATAAGCCATGCTTATAAAAATAAGTTCTATTTAAATATTAAGAGCTTGGAGCATTTTGCATACAGTCTTTGTAACCCTTAGAATTACTCTAACAAAGACACCAGTATTACTGCCATAGTATAAATGGAGAATGGAAAATGGATATTTCATCATAATGGTTTTCCCAAGTGAGTTGATGCTGAAAATTTGAACTAGAGTGGAGGTTTCCAACCTCTTTGAACCCATGGACACATTGAGAATTTGGGAAATGGCTGTGCACATTTTCACTAAAAATCTAGTCAGTTGATTACCATTTTTGTGTTCACCTGTTGGATCTTTGAATCTTAGGTTGTGTCTATTCATCAAAAAGGTTTGTTTCATGTTTATTGGAAACAACAATGTCTCTTTAATAAAGGATTGCTTAATTCAGTGGTGCAATACTGCTAATGAATCTTTTAAACTTACGTTCTGGCAATGTTCAGTCATTGAGGAGGCTATTACACAGATTAACAGTATTTAATGTTCACTGAAACACATGCTATTATTTACCTACTTCATGGAAATTAATACATTCATAAATGGAAAGGAAAATGGATTCTCCACATCCATTTGACAGCTGAAACATTACCATTGTCATATTGGAAGGATAAATACTCACTTCCTATAACACAATGGATTGAGAACTGTACAGCATGTCCAATATATGAATGGGTGGCATAGAGACATAAACTTCAATTTATCTGGTTAGCCTGCTTTGTTGAAGCTCACATAACTTCTAAAACATTTTATGCATTTGTGTATGCATATTAAAACATATTTTAATTTTTGGAAGCCTGTGGGCACCATGTTAGGGACTCCTTCAAGGGTGCCATTGGAGGTGCCTTTTGGTTCCATGCTGGGGATCCGCAAATTGGGGACTTCTAGTTCATAACCTCGTAACCTGAGGCTGCACTGAAAAGCATACCTACTAGGGAGTAAGCCCAGTGAGCTACTGAGACCTGCCTATGAGTAAACATACATAGGATTATATGGCACACCATTATGCTATAAACAAAACAGATGCTTACTATTTATCCCATAATACTTGCTATAGAAAACTGCAGAAAACGTTTTCAATCTATACAACAGCACTATTACAATACAAGGCATCCTTGTTAGCCAACCCAGCTTACCTTTAAAGTTTTATCCCAACTTCCAGTCATCACACAGCTATAATTCGGAGCTTTGATCCAATGGATAGTCTTGACAGGAGCTTCATGCTGGAGAAATAAATAGGTATTTAAAAGACCAAGAATCATCTCCCATGCATGCTGTTAGGATGTATAATAGCACACTTTGAAATGAGGATTCACTACTTTCTTTCTCCTGCAAAGTAAGCCCTTGCACTTTCCTTTGCGCTTCACACAGGCTGTCTGACTCTTCAGTTTTGTGTTTAAATGCATCCACAAGTTCATCCCATCTAAAGCAGGAGTTACTCCCCAGTTTTTAAAATGCAAAGATTTCATCCAATTAACACAAAGATCTTTACACATTTACCAGTCCAATTTAAATTCTTTTTTTGTGAGGGAAACTGTCTCAGAAGGGGCACAAGAAAAAAATGAGATGTAATGCGCCTTCCTTTCAAATAATGAGGGCAACCTATAGCCAACTTTTGGTCCATTCTTCACCAATGAAAGGTGCTTTATCAATCTGATTTCTCCAGGTTTCAGTCTTGGGAACAGGATTGTTTATATAAGCAAAACATGCATCTGCTTTGCTATTCAAAATATGTGCATTTGGACAAACATTAAAAGCTTGCTGTAGTCAATTTAGCAAAATTTCTTAAACTGTGAGTGAAGGCACTCTTTATAAATTCTTCCCAACAAATACAATGTGAATCAATGAGAACTCTGTTAGAGGACATGAAACACACCCATAGCTTAGCTAGTGAGGGAAAGGCAACCCTGAACTTTGCAAATATAAGCCCTACACATGTCCTGTCCCAACCAAGAAGGAAGCACTCTGGTTTGAGAACTATTTCCTTAACACATAAGTGAAAATTCATATTGCAGTTTACTCCACCTTTTTAAACAGAGGTGTTTCTGCCAACAGTTAACAGATAAATATCTTTGACATTAAAAGTCTTTATTAGCATGCAAAGTTTTTTAAAGGCTTCCATGTATTTCTGTTATGGAAGGCTATGTTTGAAAATTATACCTGTGCAATTTGTATTGCCTGGTTACTGTTAAGATCCCACATTTTGGCAGTTTTATCACATGATGCTGTGAACACTTTACTCCCATCCTATAAAATGAAAGAGAAAGAGAAATGGCTATTTATCAAATCTGTTTGTAAATGTGCATGACTGACTGCAAATGGTAAAGGTGTATCAGTACCAGAAATCTCCTGCCAAGTAGAAAAAAATTAGACTACCATGATAAGATCATGGTTTTGAGAGCAGGGTTTTTCCTCCCCGTCAAGAATCTCTCCCTTCAATGACAGAAGAAGGCAAGGTTTTAAATGAAAGCGTTGGATGTCCCAGCCCACAAGTAAACCCTACTGGTACCAAAAAACACTTCTTATGAAGCGACTCACATCACTCCAACAAACATCTAGTACAGGTCCTGTGTGCATCTGCTGTGCTTTTGGAATAGTCTGTCCATTATCCTGGACTTCCCAACAACGAACCTATGTTTGAAAAAAGGACAGTACATTTACAAAGAGAATTCATTTATACAGCACTTTTAATGTATTGGCTTTTACCCTGTTTGCTCTGAGAAGACCTTGAAGTCTGGTTACTTACTTTTGCTTTTACACAGTGACAATGGCAGAAAGAAGATGGCCATCCATCAACTGAACCCTTGGGATTCTAATTAAGTTCATCATTGGGCATTACCATCTAGTTACAGGCTCTCAGTTTTATACCTAACCTAACCAAAGTTTTGAACTCCAGCATTCCTGATCATTACTGAGTACTGCCGCACTGGTGGGGGATGTGTAGAAGTTGACTGGGAATGGAGGGCACCAGACTGGTGATGGCTGCTCTAAGCAATACCATTTGTTTTGGTATCCCCTCCATGGCCAAATGAAGTTGACTCTAGTCTACAAATGCTCAAGCAAAAGTACACTGGGTTGATCCAGACTTAGTCATGCAGACTGTAGACCCACTAAAAGGACTAACGTCCCCTACTATTTTAATGGGCTGCTCTATGTACAGCTGACTCTGGGTCCAACTACCTATTTTTACCATGGTGGTTTTATTTTTGCTGTAGCATTTTTCAACCTGATCCTACACGTGTTTACCTAAAACCGACTTGCACTTGTTCAAAGGAACTTATGTCAGGATTAAGTACAAACAGTATTATGTAGCACAATGCAATTCTCCTTCTGAAATGTATTTTGTTCATACAACTTTCTTTCACAATAAAGAACTCGGAGCAGAAAACTCTGCAACTGTGATCCTGTGCACTCTAACCTGCTACTAAACTCCAGTGAACATGGACTGCTTTCTGAGCTGAGATGTACGTAGGACTGTACTAAAAATAGGTTGTCAGTAAGTAATTCAGTTACTGGGCCAAAATTCATGTGCTTAGAGAAATGCAAGCGAAAGAAAATTTGATGAGAATGCATCAGATTTCTTCTCCTACTTTTTTTTTCAGCTAATCCTTTCCCACAATAATCTGTGTGTTTTTTGTAATTGACAAAGGAACTAATTTTAAATAAATATTATAGTCAGTACTTCTATATTGTCAGCATTATTGCTACAAACTCAGCATGTCTCACAGGTGCTAGGCAGTTTCTTTAAACATTACCCATTTAAAGTTATCACATTTTTCTGCAGGAAGCAGCCATCCATATTCAGAACACACCATGAGCAACCTGAGCACATGCTATGGCCTATTACTTATTTTCACTTGTTACTTACATCATTTGCCCATGATCCTGCAATAAGGAAATTACCCGGCAATGTTGGTGGGCTGAAAGCCAAACAACCAATGCTATCATCAGGTGGCGAAGTAACTTCAATATCCTGGAACAGAAGTCAAAGTTACAGATACTTCCTACTGGATATACAGGGCAGACATGTTTTACTTGGTTCACAGATGTGAAATTCTGCTTCCAGACACCAACCACCAAAAGTAATTGCAGCTTGCTCCAGTACATATTTATATAGATGGGAATTGCACCAAGTTTAAGAGGAATGATTTACTTCCTGGTTAGGATGCTTAGAACTGCAGAGCATTTGAAAATTAACATATCTGAAAGTAGGAGCAGAAGTCCCTATAATTTATTTATTTATTTAAAGTTTTTATATGTTGTCCCATTGCTATATAGCCTCGGGATGGCTCACAGAAATAAATAAATACAAAACAAATAACAATTACAATTAAAACCCATAAACACACTGGCTGCCCAATTAAAACCTATAAATATTAAACTTTATTAAAATATTGTTTGAATGAAAAGGGCTTGGCCTTTGTACTATAATAAGTACCACAGCTTCCTCCAAAATCAACCCATCTCCATTATTTCTATCTTAACTGTAATTCTTACAGCCAAGATGGAAACTCAAAATGCCCACCTGTGAGAGACATGCAAACTCAAACTAACAGTATTCTGAATAATGTTAAGCAAAATATCGACATAGGGAGTATATTATTATGTTAACTTATGTACTGGAGGATTTTCACTTTTTTTTATCCAAAAGTCTTCTTTTTAAATGAGTTACTATATTTGTACCCATGTGAACGGTAGCTGCATACCTTCATCGGGTTGTGGTTATCTGTAGCTGTGCTGCCAAACATGCTGGTTCCACCAGTTCCAAATGATGATGTTGATCCAAATAAACTCATCTTGGCCTGTAGATAATAGGATTGAAAATGGCTTCAATAAATTATTTGCTAAACAGACTATGTATGTACTTGTACATTTGAATACACATAATTTACACACAAGTAGACCAGAAAGATCTCCTTCTTTCAAATAGCCTATTGTAGGATGCCTATCACCCTGACTGAACAATGATCAGGGCAGGTGTGAGATACAGACCAAAACATCTGAAAGGTAGCAGGGGAGGGAAGGCTGGCCTAATTTCGTTCCACATCATCCTGCCATCTGAAGACAGTAACCGGGGAGAAAAGCTTTCTCAGATATGATGCCTTGTATCTTGAATCTGACAGACAAGTATACCTGGCTCCAACACCGGACATTCTTCAACAACAAAGGCCTTTAAAACCTAGGAATTCCAACATGTCCTGTAGCTGGTTTTGGTGTTTTTCTTGCTTCTGTTGACACTGCTTACAGTTATTTTTACTGTGCTCAATGTGGAATTTTACTGCATATTTTAACTGCATTAAATGTAGACACCCATTTTCTTGTATTAATGGACAGGCTGTAAATAATTAATGAAATGACACTGAAAATGGGACATAAATACTTAATTCTTGCATAATTTACCAAGAAATTAGTTCAATTTTTTTCAAGAGGGTTTACTCACAAGTATCCACAAAACAGCAGTCCAGTGGAGTTAACTGGGGCTTATACAAGGGACATGTTAGACAATCAGCACAGTTAGATAATCACACAAAGTTTAGTTAGGTCTGAAGCCTTAATTCACAAATCTTAAGACAATGGTTGCTGTCTAAGATTAGTATTTCTTTTATTAAAAATACCATGAAATGCACTTCAGCCTTTCTTTGTGTGTGTGTTCACACCATTGAAGATTTAAAATTCCACATACAACAATAGCACTAAAACTGGACATTTCAAAATGCATTAATATTTACTGAAATAAAAACAACAGATTTATGGGTACTGGTTTATTTGTATTTTCTGTGTATTTGAGATTCAGACCAGTATCAACTCTGAAAACACATATCCGGATGACATATGCTCTCAATGTCCCTATCTATCATCGAAAGTTCTTATTTTCCAGCACCCAAACCCTGTTTTGCCTCTGTACATGCACACAAGTCTAACTTTTAAAGATTTTGCTAGTAGGCACTAGATTTCTAATTTCAGATGTTAAACCTGAGTAGAGAGGAGACAGATCTTGGTTACACATGAGAAGTGGCCCTCCATCAGTGCCTCACAACTTCCATCAATCCTAGCCAGCCTAGCTAATAGCGAGAAATCGCTGGAATTGCACCTTCTTTGCTTGATGCATGGACTCAAAAGCCAGGTTAAGGTGCAATTTCCTCACTTCAAAATCATGGTTAATTATGCTATGTGTTCGAACTGAGCCATTATGAATTAATCTCCAAATTCAGCCATTATGAATTAGTGTCCAAATTCAATCATTTTGTCAGTGAACCATTTGTCACCAACCAGTGACTGGGATTTCGTCTAACTTGGATTTCAGTGCATTCAATTACAAACTCAAGGGCCCAAGCTAAGGACCCAAGCATGGTTGCTGAAACTGTTATAGTACCAGAAAATGTAAATTTGCCTAGGAACAACAGAGAATTAGAACACCTCCACACTGGCTGATGGGAATATGGAATACATTTACTTTCAGCTATTGCTCCAAAGCTGTCTACCTTCTGAAGAGGGATTTTACTCATTTGTTCCCTTTTTTACAACTGTGTTGTCACCTAGGAGGCCCTTAAGGTGATCAGGCACAATTAGCTGGAAATAAGATGATGGTCCAGTTTTTCAGCTACTGGTTCCCAACTAGACATTTATTCTTACCCTTCCCTACTTTGCTGGACCAATTTGCTCTCACTTTTTGTAAACCACAAAAATCTTGGCTTGACACAGCAGGCCATGTGAGGATGAGAACACTATAACCCTTGTCTGGGTGGGAGATGTGTGGAGCTACTGAGGAACATATTTTCCTCTCTTCCATCTCTAGAGTCTGTGGGAAGGCTGGAATGGTGGAGAGTAGAATATAGGGCCCAGTAATCAGAGAAATAAATTATTAGAGCAAAGTGAAAGGAGTAACTATGAAATATGCATTTTATGCCAGCTTGCCTTCCATACTACAGAGTGGGAAATGTCCTGCATTGGAAGACAAAATAGGAGGCTGCTGGAATGAAAGTCATGAAACAGAATGTGGTTCCTTTTGGTTGCTGGCTCACTTCAAGTGGGTAGGGTTTCTTCTCTTCTGGCACTTCAGCTGGAGCCCAAAAAGGTACCCAAGGCTTAGATGGAGAAGCTTGTCTCAAGCAATCCCCATGAAAAATTCCCATAGTGCTTGCCACTCTATAACGCATGCAGAGAAGCAGACATGCCCATTATGCCTGCATATCACTGACTGATTTAAGCTGTTCTTGTTTAGTCAGGCATTCCTGGAAAGTTGCATTTGCTGTGAGAAGTTCAACAATAAGCAGGCAAAATATGTTGCTATATCCAGTACAGATGTGCAAAAAGCACCAAAGAACTCCCACTGCTACCAGCAGTCTATACTGAAAGCAAACAGTATCTACTTCTTATAGGCATTTGTAAAAATTTACCATTTTTACAATCTTTTCATGGTGACACCACATTCAAACTCACTTGAAAACAACATTCAAAACTTGTACATTTTAAATATGAAATTAACCCATTTAGGGAGCAATCTCATGATCCAGGTGGTGGTAGAAGCAGCATAGGATTCTTTGGGAATCCCAGCTCTGAGGTGCTCCCTCCATCCTCCCTCACAGCCAGTGCAGAAGAAACCATGCTGGCTGCCTCTCTAAGGTTAGAAATCAGACTTGGTGAGGGCTAAAGACACATGCTGGGAAGATGGGGAATGGAGGAAGGTGGAGCTGGTAACTAATGCCATACCCAATCTTCTTCCTTCTCTCTCTGCAGAGCTTCATCAAGATGGCCTAAGTGAAATGCAGGGTACATGTAAGCTTGTGTGTTTGAAATCTATATGCATTGAGGGTAAAGGACATCATCTCCATAAACTTTCATTTCAGTGACATGCAGGCACTGCAGTATAATTCTTTTCCTTTACTGACACTCTGTGCATTTGACAACTGCCTACTTTTCTTCCAAAGTACTCTAAATCATCTCAACAATGGTTACAAGAATTCTGGGTGGCTAGCCACTATTACTACTCCATATTACAATTACAAAGGCTGAGACTCATAGGTACTGGACTACCCTAGTATCTGGTATCAAACAGGCAAATCCTGACTGGGAACTTACTACACTCTTTTTAAGACATGGAAAGAAGTACATTACCACTTCTTAAAATAACCATCAACCGGAAATAGGCGCCGCATGTGCGTTTTCAGGTCTTTTCAGCAGCCATCTCAATTGAAAAGGGAAGGCAGGGAAAGAGCATCAGGGAGCAGCCTCTTCCAACCTCCTCCTGCTGCCCTGGGCAGATTTTGGACTACAACTTCTAGCATTCCTGTCCATTGGCAATACTGCCTGGGGCTGAAGGGTGGGGAATACTAACGTAGAGGGGCACAGTGAGTGAGCCGAATTGGACGGAAGGAGCGCGGGTCTGGAGAAACAAGCCAAAAGGCGAGGCGACGCCGCTGAAGAGAGTAAGCGCAGCAGAAACAGTCCGGCCCAGCGAAAGCTTTTGGCGGCGGAGCCCGAAGGAACAGGGGTGATGGCGCAGCCCCACCGGATGGCATGGCGAGCCCAAGGCCGCCTCGCTTACCCACTAGGCGGATCCCAATCACCACAGGTGTGCCTGGCCAGAAGCGGGCGAGGAAGCAGGCCTCAGACGGGACGGATCCGACTGCCCTCCTTCTCCACGCGACCCTCGCCTCAGTGCCGGTACCTTACAAAACAGGCCTCGGAGAGCGGGCCGCCGCTTCACGTGCGCATGCGTCACTCGGAGCTGAACTCATAAGGACCGACGTCAGCTGCCGGGTTCACGGGGGTGTGGTCTGTTGCTGGCGGGAGCGGGAGGGGGCTACGGCTGGTTGTCTTCTCCCAACAGGAATGAGGTGATGTGAATGTTATGGGGTTAGCAGAGTTGATGCTTTGAGGTCTGTTCAGCTCTGCTATATAATGATGGCCAGATCTCTACTACGATCTGAGGATACGTAAAAACGTTGGTTGATGTCACAGAGAAGAAAGATCTGAATACATCCCGTGTGTAACGGTATCGTAAACATGATCCCAAATGAATTTGTCGTCTGTGGTTCATTTTGGGTTTTAGCTGCCATCCTGTGGGTAATGGGCTCCACATGGCAGGTGTTCATGAAAAATGGAATGCATCTTTCACAAACAGTTGCAAAAGAAAATATATTTGGCATTTTGGTTGATATAGAAGGTGTTTGTGACGGGATGCATAAAGGTAAGTCATTTCATAGCTGTGTTTTTCAGGTTGCAGAAGATATGAAATTATTTCTAAAGTGTGTTAAATTAGAAAACAATGGATTGGATAGGATCGAATCGGATCCAGGTTTAATTTGAGTAGACTTATTGCAATCAGTGGAACGTAAGGTAGTCACTGAGTCTACTCTAAGCATATCTAGGCACATAGGAAAATGCCTTATGCCGACTCACTAGATGGTCCTTCTAGCCCAGTACTGTAACACGGAATGGCAGTGGTTTCCAGTAGAAATTTTTCCAACCTGATCTGGAGCTACAAGGAATTGAAACTGGGACCTTCTGCATGCAACACATGTGCTCCACTATCAGTACGCAGACACCTTAGATTAATTCTGGCTCCAATGCAATGGAAATGTGTCCTATTTTATTCTGTTTACTTATAATAGCACAAAATATTAAAGAGTCAGATTAAGAAGAAAGTTATAGCTGAAGCTTTGGTGGAGTTCATCAACTGTGTGAAGTGTTGTCCAGAGCTGGCACATTGTAAAGAGGAACAAAATTGCAAGCAATGCAGTCAGAGGGAAATAACAATACAAAAAGATACTATTGGGTACAGGTGCAGAAAATCCCTCCTATAGCAAGTGCTATACTCATTTACTTGGGAGTAAGTCAAATCTAACTTGCTAGGCCTTGCTTTTAGTAGGCATGCATAAGATTGTAATGTAATAGTTTGGGTAACAGATTCATAGTTTTATTTCATCAGAGGTCCAGTTTTCCTAAAACAGACAGATTCATAATGTTACTAAGGTTTGGACCTGGCAGTTATAATGTAAGGGACTAAAACTATCCCAGTGCTTCAGCCTTCGTAGTATCTGCAACTATGGTTCACTGAATTTGGAACATGTACTGTGTAAGGTCCACATAGTTGGCCTTATGCAGAGAGCATGAGGATACCTTCAAGAAGACTGGTTAGTTGCCTATTCAAGTTCTGATGGTGAGTTGTCCTCAAACATTCCTGGGAAGGTTATGGTCTCTAGACAGCATCTGAGGGGCCATGGGATATTTCAGATTCCTCAGTTCATGACTGGAAAGAGTGTTCCAGCTTTGAAGTGAGGGGATCAGAGTTTTGACTCATTACCTCTTGCATCTGGCATGGAAACAAATGCAGTAGATGCTTCCTCATGTCAGGCACTTGAACTTGGAGAGCGGGGCATTTTGGTGAGTGAGGAGGAGATTGGAGAGGCCAGCATATGTGATTCTGAGGACTTTCTGGCCTCCTTCCTTTCCCTTCCAATTCACCTAGAAAAAAGCCAATCTAGGAATAGAGACAAAGATTGCCTTTGCCATTCTATCCTGCACAGTATGTTTATAAGCCTTGGGGTTTGGGACTTAAGGTTAAGGGAGATTGGGCTCTAAAGAGGGTTTCCCTGGAGTCTGGAAAAAATACTGTCTAGTTCAGGCTTTGTACCTCCACAAAAGCATTTGTTTCCATGACTGGTTCTTTAAACTTTCTGCATACATGGCATTGTAGGGACTAGCAGTTACCATGCATATAATAACCATCTGAGATGACCCAGTAATTAACAGTGCAATTGTAAATTTACTTTAAATTTCATTAAATTTATTCACTTTTGCAAGAACTTGTAGATACACATAAAGAACCAACCATTCTCCTCAGAAAGAAAGGAAAAGAAAGAAAAATCAAAAGTAAAGCAAATTCACAAATACCTTTCTAAACTTTGGAACTGTAAATGTCACTCCACATGTAGAATGATTGTAAATTCTATGAAAACTGTCTTAACCATTCTGAACTACCTCTGACTCATAAAACTTTGAATGTTTGCTGAAATATTCATATCCACCCACCAAACTGTAGCTTGTTTGGCAAATACACTCTGGAAAGATAATCAGATGAAAAAGAAGTCAAAGCTTGGATTTCAGCCTTCATTTTAGATGTTGTCATAATATCTAGCTGCAAAGGAAAATACAAGAAATTAAATTTCAGGTTGAAGCTGATGTGAAGTTTACAGTGATCTAAAAGAATAATTGAATAGATATCTATATTTGTATGGCTTGTTGATTCACAGATTATACAAGGTACAGTTAGCACAACTCATAGATTTAGTTTTCAATAGTCTTCTATTAGCAGAAAGCCTATTCTACTCACAAAGGTGCTTTTTCCTATCTAGCAGAAGAGTGTAGGAAGTGAAACATGTCCTCAAATCCAAAGAAGTTCTTTCGTATATGCAACACATTCAGTTCAGGCTCTTTGTATGGGTAGAGACCCATGATTTTCATCTGACCACAACTGTAGTCATTGAGACCCAGCCACTGGCCATAATCATACAGAGGTACAGCACAGAGTTAGAGATAACCTTCTGTACTCCTCCCTGATCCAGGTGACATAGCCTTGTTTGCTCCAGATGTCTCAGCAGCATAGCAGCTAAATAAGCTTCTTTTATCTTTTCTAGCTCAGAAAAAGTAGTGGGTTTTGTTAGTTCATATGCCCTGCTGAGTTGCACCAGGCACATCATCAACAGCACAGAAGCCAAAGCCCTAGCCATCCTTCCATCCAGGCATCAACAAACTTTAGGTTTCATTCATGGACAACCAAAACATATGGGGTGGTCCCTCACTATATGTGGGAATCTTTGAAACAAGAGTACAACTTGAGGAACAAGCCAATGGACCTCTTCCGTTCCCTGCAGCTTGGAGGTGGCAGAAGTGCTAGCTTTCTCTGACTCTTTGTCTGCTGAGACAAAATTAGTCTGGAGCACTAACCACATGGTAGATGCAAAGACAAGCAGAGACAAGTTGTCTCTTTCCAGCTTGGAGTTAGGAAAAGATGTCAGTGACATGCCAGCTTGCTTTGAACCTCAGTGTTTCCTGGGCAGCTTTGAATTCTGTTCGCGTGGCAGGCACACATAAATTTTCTTCTTCTGCTCAGTTGTTTGGACCCAAGCCATGGTTTGCAAACCTCATGTTGGCTTGTTAGCTGATGATAAAGTATGGTTTCTCAATTCAAACAATGCCAAATAATTAACTTTCCTTAGGTATGGTTTGGCATGATATATGAACTTTGTCAAGTAGCATGAACAGTGGAATTAGTTCTGAAGAACACTATGAGCAGTATGCCAAAAAATGTTAAGAGCTTATCTGTTGTGTTCAGAGCTCTTCACCAGCAGAAGAATGAATTTATTTGAACTGCATATGATACAATAAACAAACAAAAAATATGATTCTTACATACTTCTTTTTTCCAGGCTGGCTGATAAGTAATATAAGGCCTTATATGCAAACTGTCCAGTTTAGTTTGATCTTGTTTAGTCAGTGGAATCAAAACATTCTGGGGTATATTCAGCCTGAAAGACAAATAGCTTAATTTTGCTATGTTTATTTTATAATGGTTTAAACATCTTATTTGTATCAATTATTTACCTCCTATTAAAATAATGGTTAATTAATGGCCTAACATTACAGGGAGAATGAGTTTACTTCTTATTAGTGGCCCACCACATATATTTTCTGGTAGTGATCTCATACTAATTTTTCCAGTAATGTTTTCTAAAAGACTTGTTCACATGACATCTAGCATTTACCCATCCCTTCAATTCTTTGCCTACTGTTTGGATGTAAGTTAAGTCTTTTATATTGCTAGGAAAATGCATTAAGGAAGTGAGGTATGAAACTTAAAAAAATGGGGGAGAGATGCTGAAATCTTCAGCTTAATTCATTGAACATATGAACAGCCAGACCATTGGTCCATCTAGTCCAGTACTATTTTCACATATTTATTACTAATTTCTACACCTTTTCTGACTTCTGGAACACACCCAACTTTTAGTGTCATAACTGAATTAAGAATTAATATTTTTAGAATGTACATTGTGTTTGTTTTATCCAATGATATTGTATTGGTATTTATTGTATTGACTACCCAGAGAGCATGCTGCTAGTGGCTTGCTTTCAAACAAATTCAATAAATAGTCATTACTTAAATGCAAAAAGAAATTTCATAGAATTGCATGAGTTAAAGTTCCATTCAAATATGTTTAAAACTTCGTGGCTGTGTGCCTCATTTTTGCAGTTTGATAAGGCACTTTGCACCTTATCCTGATGGGTGTGTGTAAAGGCAAGTAGCTTTTCATGGATATTTTGTGCAGCCTAACCAGTTGAATTCTTACAGTTTTGGCTTCATCTCATGAAAGAATAATTATACATTTTAGAAAAACTACTAACCGATCAAAATCAGATGGGAGGAGGCCAAGCCATCTTATCGCTGGAACTGTGAGACGATGGGCTTCAAATGACATAGACTGAAACATGAAATAACAACTGTTTGCTTAGTACTAGTTATATTTGCCTTTCCTAAACAGAAAAGTAATACAGAATAAAGATTTCAAGCAATATTATTAGCCTGTGTCATGTAGTTCTTTCATAGTGGATAGACAATGAATGGATCATTGTATATTTCACAGAACAGTAGAGTTCAAAGGGGCCAAGAAGGCCATCAGGTTGCTGTTGCAGGTTGCTAGTTTCCACCATCCTGCTCACATGACCGTCCAGTTTTGCCTTGAACGTCTCTAGTGAGGGAGAGCCCGCAACCTCTCTAGGCAGCTGGCTCCACTGTTGTATTGCTCTGACAGTGAGGAAAATTTTCATGATACCTACCCTGAACCTGGGTTGTCGCAACATAAGTTGATTATTCCATGTCTTACACTCTGGTATCAGTGGGAAGAGATCTTGACCTCCTCCTTCGTGACAGCCTTTGAGGTACTTAATCATGTCCCGTCAGCCTTCTCTTCTCAAGGCTGAAAATACCCAGTTCTTTCAGTCTCTCCTAATAGGGCAGTGTTTCCAAACCTGGAACATTTTTGTTGCCCTCCTCTGGAACCTAATGTTTCTGCTTCTTCCTTAAATATTGATTCCCAGAACTGGACACAGTATTCTAGCAGTCTGACTAGTGAAGAGTATAGGGAACTATTACTACTTGTGAATTGGCAGTAATACTTCTATTAATACATCCCAAAAAATAGCATTTGGCCTTTTTGAGGCTGCATTGCATTGTTGCCTCATATTTAGCGTGTTGTCCACAATAACTCCAAGGTCTTTTTCCTTTTCAGTTCTGTTGAGCCACATATTCCCCATCTTATATTGATGTATTTGGTTTCTCTTTCCTAGGTAGAGGACTTGGCATCTGTCCCTAATGAATCTCATTCTTTTGCTTTCAGCTCAGTGTTCAAATTTATCAAACTCACCCTGGATCTTCATTCTTTCTTCTAGTGTATTTGCTATTCCACCCATTCTCATATTGTCCACGAATCTGATTCTCAACAAAGAAGGCTTTCTTGTTTTTAGAATCCCTTGCTAGTCTCAGCTTCCAGATGCCACCCCTGCAATTCCTTGCTATTTGTTTATGTTCTTCTTTTGTGTCCTGGCCCTGCTTCTGCCTCTTCTACATGTTCTTTATTCCTTTCAAGTTGTCACTTAACTTTTTCTGGAGCCACATGGGTTTCCTCTGTTGTCTTCTACACATTTTCTTGTTGGAATTGTTCGTAGTTGTGCTTGGAGAGTCTTTTTCCTCCCTAAGGTTTTCCACCCCTCTTTGAGTCCTTTTCCTTTAAGAATGTGTCATGGCAACTCGCCTTTTCTTCTGAGTTTGTTAAAGTTGGCTTACTTGAAGTCCAGATTTTGTGTTTGGCTGCAGTTAATTACAAAGGAGACAAAGTTTAACTGCAGCCAAACACAAATTCAAGTATCATACAGTCACTTTTCCCCAGAGTTCCCATGGCTGCTATTTGGTCCACTGGGACATTCCTGTTGAGGATAATTGTTCATCTCATTTCTTCCTCTAATTTCTGCGGGAGGAAGTTGTCAGCAATGCATATCAGGAATCTCTTGGAGGGGACATATTTGGCAGAAATTGTCTTCCAGCATATATCAGGGAAATTGAAGCCCCCCATGATGTCTACATCATTTTTGGAAATGCTGGCAAGTTGCTTTTCAAAGGCTGCATCCTTGTCCTCTTTTGACTAGGTAGTTAGTAATAGAAGCCAATAACTATGTTTTTCTTATTTTTTGCTCCCTTTAAATTAAGCCAGATGTTTATAATGGGGCTACTAAGTTGTTGTTCTTGTATTTCCATGCAGATATGTGTTTCTTACATATAGTATGACTCCACCTCCCATTTTGTCTTTCTATTTTTCTTGAAGAGGTTGTATCCATCAATTGTAGATTTCCAGTCATGAGTCGTCCCACCAAGTTTCAGTTATTCCTATAAAATTGTAATTGCTTGTATACTATGAGCACAGGTTCATGCTGCTGGTGTATAGACCTCAAAGTTCATTCTCGTTGTGCCCTGGTTTTCTTCCTGTTTTTATATTTATATTTTTTGGAGACTGATGTTAGGCCCTGCTTGAGTTTCTCTGTTGAAATACATAAGTCTGTCAGGTGATAGTATGCCATGCTGCACATCTCCTTCCCATATATATTTCAGTTTAAAGCCCTTTTTATGAACTTTTTCATGTAGTGGCTAAGCACATGCTTTCAATTCTTTGTGAGGTGCAGGTCATCACTCACCATAGTCCGTCTTCCAGGAACTTCAGTTTGTAGTCCCACAATCCAGATTTCACTTTACGACACCACCATTGTAGTCAGGCACATACTTGAAGGTTTTTTCTTTCCCTATAAGTTCTTCTTTCATGTACTGGTAAGACTGAGGAGAAGACAATCTGGACCCAAGTGTTTTTTATTTTCTTCCCAAGAGCTTTGTTACTTCATCAAAGCTTCTCCTGGCAGTGTTGTTAGTTCCCACTTGGATGGGAAGGAGGATATACTTGTCAGTGGGATGTATGAGATGTGTGAACTTACTGGTTATATCATTAATCTTGGCTCCAGGGAGACAGCATACTTGGCAGTTCTCTGGGTCATCATGACATACATTTATTTTCCCATCTTATGCAACAGGGAAGATCCCACAACTATCACTCTTCTCTCTCTCTCTCTCTCTCTCTCTCTCTCTCTCTCTCTC